GGTTACAATTACATGGGTAAGATAATGAGTACATTTCTTATCAAGCATTGTTGCTTCCTCCTTTGTTTCCCCTTCCCATCCCTTCTCGCCCCTCCCCCCCTGCCAAAGTTGTAAAGTTCGTTTTTTGACATAACATCTTGTACATTTCATTGTTGCAATGGGTCCACCTGTATCCCTATTTAAACAATTTAATTTGTTTTTGCCCTTCCCCTCCACAAATTATACAACATCAAATACAGTGAAAACAGGGGTTATACCGTGGGGGAGGGATATACAAAGCAACAAAGAAATCATCTTATAAATATGTTAGAAACAATTGCAAGAAAGAAAAAAAAAAACATTTGAGTCCTTATCTTGGGGTTCATTTCGCCTAACATCAACTTATCTGACTGTTTCTGCTTGTTTCAGACATACACTAATTATTGCAAATAAGGGAAGCCATGGGACCTATGTTTCTTTGGGTCTGGCTTACTTCACTTAATATAATTTTTTCCAAGTCTTTCCATTTCCTAACAAATGGGGCAATGTTATTCTTTCTGATGGAGGCATAGAATTCCATTGTGTATATATACCACATTTCCTTGATCCATTCATCTACTGAGGGGCATCTGGGTTGGTTCCATATCTTAGCTATGGTAAATAGTGCTGCAATAAACATAGTTGTTCTGGTAGCTTTAATATGGTCTTGTTTGTGATCCTTTTGGTAAATGCCCAAAAGTGGGATTGCTGGGCCATAGGGGAGCTCTATGTGGAGTCTTTTGAGGAATCTCCATACTGCTTTCCAAAGTGGTTGAACAAGTTTACACTTCCACCAGCAATGCATTAAGGTTCCCTTCTGTCCACATCCCCTCCAGCATCTGTTGTTATTAGAGTTCTTGATTATAGCCATTCTAACTGGGATGAAGTGGAATCTCAATGTTGTTTTGATTCGCATTTCTTTTCTGGCTAGGGAAGTTGCCGCTGTGGTTTCGATGTGGTTTGTTTCCCAAGGATTCATGTGTTGGAGGCTGAGTCCTCCTCAGTGTGGTGGTGGTTGGGGTGGGGAGACCTTTAGGAGGTGGAGCCGAGAGGGAAGCCGTTAGGTCACTGAGGGCCTTGCCCTCTGAAGGGATTACTGTAGCTCTACTAGGACTTTGAGTTAGTTCTCATGAGAGCAACGAGTTATGGAAGAGAACCTGAGCCTTGAGTCATGCTCTGGCTTTCTTCCTCAAGATGCCATCTCTTCCCCTTTCACACCAAAATGCCCTGTCTCTTGTCATGGGGATCCCATTCCTTATTATGCCTTCACCAGAGCTAAGCTAATGCCAGTGCCAAGCTCTTTAACCACCCAAACTATAAATCACATGAAAATATTTTCTTTATTTCTTTATAAGTACCCAGCCTCAGGAATATAGTCATGGAAAAATGGGTCAGTGCAGAAATCTATGATTTATAAGATTCTCCTTAATACCTCCTCTTGCTTTAAAGTGAGGCTCAGCCTTCTTGGTATGTCTGTAACAACTCCCTACCCCCAACACCATCTATTGGTCAGCTGTACCCATCTGCCTCTTAGGTTCTATCTTCCACATACCCCAGGGCGGACTGTAAATTTCACCCACACCAAAGAGTGAATTCATATTTCTCAAATATCCTCTATTCTTTTATTGCCTTTACCTACGCAGATCATCTACTTGAGGTATTCTTCCTTCCTGTGCCTGGGAACTGTCTCTCCAACTTTCAGGATTCAGATCAAATAAGCTGTGCATATGAAGCTGTCCCTGAAGTCTGTGGAAGGAGCCTGTTCCCCCAGCTGCCAGAACACCACATACCACTGTTTCTGCTCACATCAGCCTGTTTTGTTGTGTGTTTACATGCCCATGAGCTCCTTGAGGGCAGAGGCTGAGGCTGATTCATATCTGTGTCCCTCCTGCCAAACCCCCATGCTCAATAAATGTTTGATGAATGGCTGAAGGAAAGAATGTTCATCATCTGAAAATTGCTCATCAGAGCCCCGTACATCACAGTTGCCAGGAGATGTTTTCATCAAATGTGGCTTCTGGGTGTTGGTATCTAACACTGTCCTGGTTCTGCCTGAAGCATTAGAAATTCAGAATAGCTCGCAGGGGTTAGAGGACAGGCATTTTATTTGTTAAACATAAAATCAGGAAAGGAAAGCGAACACTAAGATATGCAAATGCATATCTACAAGAATCACACTAGATGATTTTGAAATTCAGTCTGAATGGCTGTGGAGCTTAATTGTGGTCCTCAGGAGAGTAAATAACACAGTGTAGAACCAGAAAGGAGATTTGAAGTGAACCCAGTGAAAGTTCCTTCCTGCCCAGCATCTATAGCAGATCATTAGAGTCGGTTGGATTCCTACATACTTTGCAGAGACTAAAACCTGTTGCAAGAAAATTAGCCCAAGATTTTAATCATGTAAAAAGCTCCAGGCTTCCTCTCTGAACAGCAAGCCTTTATCAATGAGGGTTTGAGGACAGATTCCAGGTCACTTGATAAAGACTGATCCTTTTGTATTAAGCAAAAACTGCAATGCGTTAATTATTAACCACCAAATGAGAGCGGCTACTCTGAGCTTGCAACTTAGGAATTTAAAAAGATTACTTCCAAACAGTTCCCTTTGGTAGAGAGATCAAAGCTGTAGTTGCCAAAGCATGCTGGGAGTTTTAATTAGATGTATGGCCAAGTAACTGAAAACTGCCCAAGCATCAGAGTGCCACCTTCTACCTCTGACTCCCATTCAAGTGGGAAGCCTTTGGGGCAGGCTGTTCAAGTTGTACCCAAGATTAAGAAAGAAGCTGGGAGCTGGGTTTTGAGGAGTCTCTGCTGTAGTAGAAGCACAAAGACAGACACAGCTCTGTTGATGCCACTGTCTTTGGTGGAGCAAGGCCTCTTTCTGAGGGGTTAGGGATTTAAATCTATGAGAATTATTATTTCTATCTGAGGGACACTAAGTCCCCAGAATCTCAGATGGTTGGCTGAAGAGCCCAGAGCCCACTCCCTACCTTCCTCCTACAGGAAGGTAAAACAGCACACTTGCCAGCCCATATCCTCTAAGCCTGAGTTTCAGGAGTGAATGGCTGAACTTTCAAAACCTAGATTTTAGCTCCTGCTAAGTCTTCATCTTCTTTTCCTCTCTACCCTTCTATCTCCTTGTCTACCCTAGCTCCACCAGTCTTCTAAGAGTGGGCTTTCAAAAGCCTAAACCTAAGTATGTCCTAGGTGGCACATTCTCATCTCTCAACCAAGTCCACCAGGCCTCATGTCCTCTGGCTGGGCTGACCCTCCCAGGCTCTTCTCCACTGCTCCCCAACACAACACTGAGTGTGATGACATTGCCCAGGTTTTGACATGCACCATTCTTCCCTGGAACAGCTTTCATGCCTCCTGAATGGAGCAGGCTCCTGCACACTCAGAACATCCCAGGTTAGTGAACTACCCTGTTTTCTGACTAGCTTTGTCCCGTTCCTGTTCTACCAGCCCCAAATCCCTGAACTACCCTATTCTCAGTCCCCAGATGGAAGCTGAACACTAGCAGGCCTGGCTAAAGGCAGCATGGAACATCCCCCATAACATATGATATGAATGCTAGAGACCCTGATGTCTCAGGCACAAATCGTATCTTACTCCAGGGAAGTCAGCCTTGCTCACTTCTTGGGCTGGGGTGAGGGATGATCTCCTCACCAGACTGTGAATCTGGTCTTACTTGGCCCAAGCCAGGAAGCTACAGCATTCTTCCCCAGTAAGAGCCTAACTGTCATTCCTAACCACACCTCCAGGTCTCACTCTGTCAGTTTGAGAGAGGGCTGCTTCCAGAATCCTGTCATGAACAACCACTTCTGGTTTTCTAGCAGTTAATTGTGGCTAAGAGTCTCACAGACTTTCCTGCCCCAGCTGGTTTTGAATCGTGATGCTCAGATCTCAGCCTCTTGAGTAGCTAGGATTACAGGTGTGAGCCACCAGTGCCTAGCTGTTATTTTGACTTTTGTTTTTTTCTTCCTTTGTCACTGTTTTTGTTTTCTGTACCTTTTGTCTTGTATGTAAGTTTATCTGTTTGGGAGAGGGTAAGGGGAGCATAGAAATGGAGGGACAAAGGGTGAACAAATGCAGCAGTGATACTCACTAGACACTGTGTTGACAATGAACTACACAACTTATGGGAGAGGGAGATAAGGAGAGAAAAACTGGGAGAAAATGAGGGAGAAGATGACACTGTTGAAAAAGAAATGCACTTATGATCTGACCTACATAACTGTAACCCCTCTACACATCACCTTTACAATAACAAAAATAAAATAAAAGATTACAAAAAAAATCCCACGAAAAACCCTGGTCCTAATGGTTAGACTCCCTGGGGCAGGGAGGACTGAGGGAAGGGGCAAAGGTTCTCCTTCAAGCTAGGTGTCTGGATCCTTGGGCATCATTTTGTGAGGGAGATACAGCAGCCAGTGAAGAGTGGGATATCAAATAGGGGCCCCCGAATTACGGAGACCTAGTAAATAATGTTCCATCATCACTAGTGTAGGGTCTCTCCACTATAGATGACCTCAGACATAGTCCTGTGAAGAAATTTCATCCCTAGAGACTCTATACTGGGAGGAAGGCACACGAGCCATAGACCAGAGGCCCAGCACTATCTTAGCTGGGACACTGGTGGGACTTTATCTCATGAGAGGGTACTTGTGGAGAGAAGACTCAAAGGCTTGAAGCTAGGATGAACCAAGTTCAAATCCCAGCTCTATCCCTTTCTATGGGACACTGGCAAGGGACAGATGACTCCCCTCTCTGAGCCTCAGTTCCCTTACATCTAAAGGTTAAACGAAATAATAATAACCTCGAGTGGTAGAAGGCCTTCCTAGCGAGCAGAAGGCCCTGAGTTCAACCCTAATATCATCAAAATAATGATAAAGCAATAACTTTCTCCTCCCCCCCCCCCAGCCTGGCCCCTGTGGCTACTCTAGGAGCGTGGTGCTGAGCTGTCCCTGGCTCAGGGCGGTTACCTGAGTGAACTGCCAGTGGAGTTTCATCCTCTTGGCTTTGGCGTAGCTGCACTCGATGAGCCGTGGGCGGCTGTTGACATCCACCAGGCACCGGTTGTCATCGTCATCGATCGTGGGGCTCAGGACGCCCACGTGGATCTGCTGGCTGCTGGTGTAGTACACATTCTGAGGGGAAAGGAAAGCGGGGAGAAAGAGCTGAAATATCATCCGGAGAGATGGAGGGAACGGAGCTGCTGTTAAAGAGGTCTCAGTGGAAGACCCTAGACTGTCAAATCTTTTTGTTATAGAGGAGAAGAAACCTTTTACATCATGATCTAGTATAGCATGGGGTCCTCATCTATAATTAAACAAAAATTTCAAGGAATAACAGCTACCTTTTCTTTTTTTATAATCTGTACATTGCAAAACATTGGCCATAACTTTAAAAATTGATTGCATCCATTGTTTAAAGAGTACCTTGTGAACCCATTATGTGTAACTGACTTCCTCCATAAATATGTTGTGCCAGATACTATACTTGGCCAGGGCGTGGAACTGAAAGGTTTGGGCCATGCCTTTGGGGGGAGCTCTGAGTCTTGGATGACGAGACAAAACATCCATCCCTATGAGTCAGTGAAGAACATGGGTGGGCAGGCTTTTCCTTAAAGGATAAATAGCAAATATTGGCATTGGGGTGTGCTGGGGAGTCCCCAAGATCCCGGTGAGATTCAGTGATTCTCCATGAGAACTGAGGATGCAGCTCCTAGCTGTATTCCCAGCTATGCTCCATTACATTAAAAGGAGATCATTAAACAAGAAAAATAGCTGAGGCCTGGCCTAGGAACTTTCACGTTGGGATGCATGGGCTTCAAGGGTCCTGTCCAGGTGGAGTCCCAGGAAGCACTCAGTTCTAGCAACAAATGTGACCATATGTGAGAATGACTGCCAGGGAAGCTGTCCGAGCTTCAGCATCCAAGCTTGCCATTGGGTAGATCATGGAGGCAGCTTCTGCCTAGAATGTACCAAACTGCCTGGCTTCCAGACTTGACAGAGGGTGTTCAGTATGAACCATCGGGTAGCATTTATATACTAGGCTTAGGCACAGTTAGGCCTCTTCTCCTTTGTGATGGGAATCCTCTTTCTGGGATGCCAGAAAATGACCCCCCAGCAAGCAGTCCTACAAGAGGCCTTCCTGGAGGATAGAAATCAGACCTTCTACATGGATTCATTTTTGTACAGAGGCCCATTCAGTGTCTTGCTGTGGTGCCTGTACACTCACAGACAGAGCATAAACCAATAGCCTTCTTCTAATAACAATTTATTTGCGGATACAGGGGCTGTCTCGTGGGCTGTAATCTGTCCCTAGTTTTTAGTAAATCAAATAGTTATGCCATTAGGCATTATATCCATCCACCCAATGGACAAATAATCTCGAAGTTGAATTCTGAGGGTTCAGAGATGAGAACGTAGCTGGGTGCCAGTGGCTCAAGCCTGTAATCCTAGCTACTCAGGAGGCTGAGATATGAGGATCACAGTTCAAAGCCATTCTAGACAGGAAAGTCTATGAGGCTCTTATCTCCAATTAACCACCAGAAAACCGGAATTGGTGCTGTTGCTCAAGTGTTAGAGCATTCGCCTTGAGCTGAAGAGCTCAGGGACTGTAGCCATGTCCAGAGTTCAAGCCCAACTGACCAAAAAGAAAACCCCAAAACAAAACCCCCAAACAGAGATGAGAACGCCATGGGTCCTGTGCTAGAGGAGCCATAGACAACGTGGGGGTCAAGCAAATAGCCTTTAGAGAACAATGGTTCTAATTCCACTAACGTGAGAGCTGTCCTCACTTCTTCCACTCACCTAGGCCAACTCTTGTAAAAACTCACATCTCTGGAACACTTCCTTGGAACATGCAATAGTGCGGGGCTCTAGCGTGCCACCTGAGCCTTATGCCAGGAGGTGCACACACCTGCGTAGGCCTTTGGGCTAAATGCACCTTGGTCACCTCCTCAGGACCGCATAGCCCTTAGCTACCTTGTATGTCAGTGCCCAAGTTCCCTGAGGCTAGGAAACATAGGCTGTGTGACAAGGATGGCCAGGGAGCCAATCATCCCCATCCCCACTTCTTCCCTGTCATTAGTCTGGCTCTCCTCTCCAGGGCAGGCTCCACAGGCACAAGTGGCCACCCAGGTAATAGCTGAAACCAGTTGTATCCACTTAGCTGCTCTGAAGTGCCTGGGGAGCTGCTCTGAGAGGCGTGTGTGCACTTAACTATCTGGTACAGCTGTCACCAAAGCTGTTTATTGCTCCAGAGTCAGGGAAAATCATAATAGGGACAGACAGTTGTTTGTTATTTAAAAAGCAACAGCAAAGTGTAGCTTCACTGGTGTAAGTAAAAAGACGGCAGATCACAGAGGGAGGCTCAGCAAAGAGGATTCTCTCAAGTCCTCCCTTGAACATCTCAGAGGCCCAGACAGTACTTCAATGAATCAATAAATGGGCCCAAACACACAAAAAGGGGAAATGGATTTGTGCAAGATGCCCCATTTTCAATGCTTGCAGGGCCAGCAAGCACAGCTGCACTTTCTGAGCAGCAGGGAGCTTTGAAGGTTTTCAGGAGAAGAGGTTTAGAGCCATGGTCCTCACTGGGGTGTGATTCTTCCCAGCAGGAGTTATTTGGGATATCTGGAGAGACTTGGTTGGGGTTGTTAGTGCTTCATAGCAAAGAGTTTTCTAGCGCCAAACGTCAGTTTTGCCATTGAGGAGAAACCTCAACTTAGACTATTGATGATAATAAAAGCTGAATTCTCTTTAGTTTATACCATATTTCAGACAGGAGGTGGTCCATGTGTTTTATCTCATTTAATCATAATAAGAATTTGGAAAAGGTACAGGCTGAGTATCTGAAACTCTCAGGCCAAGTGTTACAGATTACAGACTTCTTCCCTTCGGATTTTGGGCTATTTGCATACACACACACACACACACACACACACACACACACACACACACACACACTTCATTTATGCCATATACACATGGCCTAAACGTGAGTTTATGTCATATTTTTTTATTGTGAAAATTCTGTACAGAGGGGGTTACAATTACATGGGCAAGGTAATGAGTACATTTCTTATCAAGCATTGTTGCCTCCTCCTTTGTTTCCCCATGTCATTTTTTTTTTTTAAAAAAACATTCTTTTAGTTTTACTGCAACCTCTCACATGAGGTGAGGTATAGAGTTTTCTATTTGTGGCATCAAAGAGTTTAGATTAGGAAATATTTTTTAATCAGGGATGTCCAATCTATATTACTATTTTTACCAATCTTGTAGATGAGGAAACTGAGTAAAATGTATCCAAAAATCACATGGTTAGTGTTTAGCAGCTGAGATTTATATATTTGTTTATCATTGTTTAGAAGCTGGGTCCTGAGATCAGGGTTTGAGCCTGCTAGGCAGGTACTCTGCTGCTTGAACCACATTCCCAGACCAGAGTCTGGGATTTAAACTGAGGTGGTCTGACTCCAGAGCCAGGCAACATCCTTCCTGTGATTCTTGTCAGAGGCTGAGGCCAGCTGTTATCCTGTCTTTGGTCATTTTACAAACCCCTAGGGTACTGAAACAACATTCCTGGACAGTCAATTCCTCCTCAGCTACAAATGATTGATTCAGCTCATTCTCCACTCAGCTGCACCACCGCTCAGCAGGGCTGCAAACCCGATCTGCATTCCATTGTGATGTTTACTAGAAGAGGAGAAAACTCTCTTGCACCTCTATGAATGAACACATCTGGATCTCAGGTCTCACACCAATGGTGATGTTTGCTCTCCTCTAGGTCAGGGTCAGGAACAATTGTGAATCTAGATAGCCAGCTGTGGAGCCCTCAAGTGCACATTCCTGCCCTGTCCTTGGAGCCATAGAGCCATGGTTGGGCAGAGACTCAAGGGCAAGTGGTTCCCCTTGCTTTGTTCCTCATCTCTGGATAACATATCCCCTGCTCCCATAGGATGTTGGTGGCTTCTGCTGCCAGTGTGGTCCAACACACTGGTGAGTCTATGTCTCAAAGAGCCTGACTTATGGCTCACCCTCCCATCACTTCCTCACAGATCTGGAAAACAAACTTTGCTAGGTAGGTAATTTTCATTCTCAAGGTCACATTGCATTTGTAAGGACAAGGAAACAGACTACAATGAGTTTTAAAAACAACTTGCTAAGATGCCTGGACAATCACTGCTTTCTCCCTCTGCCTGAAAGGAAGCTCCCAGGAAGGCTGAATTCCTAGCAGGTTAGGACCTGCATCCCCTTCAAAGCCAGCTGTCCAGACCAACCTCCCATTCTTCAGCACTATTGGGCAGCCACAGTGCTCCACTTCCAGGCTGAGCCCTCAGTGAGGCTGGCTCAGGCAGAGCTCGGCTCCTATGGCCACCCTGATCTCATCCCCTGAGAACCACCAAGGGCCAGGCCAGGCCCACTACCATAAATTGCTCATACTAAGCCCTGGGGGATCCAAGAAAGGATTCAGAGGCCACTGAAGGTGGGAGGGGGGTGGTCCTAGGGTCCTGTCCCTGCTTGACCATGTAATCCTCATTTTCTTTCTTGCATTCAATTGGCTTTCATAGAATATTTTGTTTAAATAAGTTCAAATAAGTTTAAATGGCTGATTATCATGGAGTAAGGCATGAATCATCCCTCCAACAAGATATGGAGGCTCAGCAAGCCCTCCTTTAGCTTCTGCCTCACCAACTAGAATTTGCAGATATTTGGATAAGATGCTTTAACCTCCCTTCAGCTTCTACCAGACCCCACTCTCTTGAATTCTTTGACACGGAAAATTCTCAGATTTCTCTCTCTCTCTCTCTCTCTCTCTCTCTCTCTCCCTCCCTCCCTCTCTTGCCCTCTGTGTGTGTGTGTGTGTGTGTGAGTGTGTGAGTGTGTGTGTGTGCGCACACACACGCGTGCGCGCACGCATGCGCACCTGTGCTCGAATGCGTGTGCATATGCTGCTGGGATTTGAACTCAGTGCCTCTCAATTGCTAAGCAAGTGCTTTACCACTTAAACCATGCCTCTAGTCCCAATTCGCAGGTCTTTGCATTTTTTCCTTCCTTCTTCTGCCCAGACCTTAAGACCTACATTACACCTTAGCCTCTATGGAAGTTCTGAATGGAGACTGAGATGGAAGAGTTGTGGTATG